AAATATATATTTTATTGCACTGTATGCGTATATGAATACACATACATACCTAATTGTTTATTTAGAAAATCCTACATTATATATCCCATTTGACAGTTGAACCAAAGACGTCAAATTTTGAGGTTATATTGAAAATTTTATCATCTTGTATTATTATGCTTATTTATCTATGATCTTGTACTTCAAAAATGTTTTTTTTTGTATAAATATTTATACATACTGGTTTAATTTAAAAATCTTATTTTCATACCTGATTTGCCTCTTCAGTTTCATGACGTTTATGTAGATTATATTAAAATATTTTTGATTATACAAAATATTCGGCAAAAAATGTATTTTTTTAAGCTTTGTATATGCATTTAATTATATATATATATATATATATATATATATATATATACTTGTATATAATTGTTTATACCAAAATTTTTAATATTGATCCTGATTTTTGAGGTTAGGTACGTGTAAAGATCATTTTCCCATAAGTTTTTAGGTTATAATTTTTACAAATTCTGTCAACAATCTTCAAATTTGACGTCTATCTATTTTTCACTTTGCAAGTCAATAATATCATGTTATGTTATCTTTAAAATGTTTTCAGCACGTGACACTTTGCGTTTGACATTGATGACATATTGCGCACTTAACCTCAACATTAACATCGCATGAATAAGTCAATTTAAACATTTTTAAATGTATAATCATAGTACACTATTGAATCGTATAAATTCGAGTGTCAAAAATGTTCGTTTCAAATCGATACAAGGGGATAGTTGTCAGGTGCCTTCGGCACCTAACCTAAAACTCCGGAAATGTTTGGTGGTGTCAAAGTTGTCCAGATATGAATTCGAGAAACTGAGACATCCTGAATTGAATGCTGAGGAATTGGAGTGTTTGTTGAAAAATCGGGGGAATGATATACAAGCTTTGTTGCATTATTATAATTTACACAAACAGTTCGAGAATAAAGTTACGAAGACTTTGAGGGATTTGGGGATTGAGGTGCGGGTTGTCAACAGGATAACAGCACAGCCGAGGCTTTTTTATGGAGTGATTTGGTGGTACCTGTAGGAGGCGATGGTACGTTTCTTTTAGCAGCCAACGAGCCCGGTGTATTAAAAGACCTTTCGTAGGCTTAAATTCGCATCCGTCAAGGTCCGAAGGCAGTCTATGTCTGCACCGTTATTATTCCGAACATATTGAGGAAGCTTTTAAAAAAATCCTGCACGGGGACTATCATTGGTTCAACAGGAACCGCATAAGAACCACGGTACGTGGTGATGGTTTGTACGATCGTGACCGTTTTCGTAAAGTAGACCTACATGACCATACTATGAAAACCAGGATGGTGTCCAGACAAATTGATAAACATGATGTGGAACCTAAAAATGTTGACTCCAGGTGCACCAGAGTCCTCCCATACCTCGCGTTAAACGAGGTCTTCATGGGCGAAAATATGTCTGCACGTGTTTCGCACCTACAAATCTGCATCGACGACCAGGACACAGTCACCAAAACTAAGTCTTCTGGTCTCTGTGTTTGTACAGGTACTGGTTGCACATCCTGGCACATGAGCATCAACAGGATATCATCCCAATGTGCAAGAAGACTCTTGGAAACAGTACGCAATTTAAGTCCTTCCTCCGACATCAAAGCCACCGCCAAAGAAATTTCTTTAGCCTACAACGATAGTTTAACATTCCCGCCATCCGATGAACGGATGTGTTACTCTTTACGCGAATTAATTTCTGTCGGAGTCTGGCCCCACCCGAAAGGCATAAAATCCAGAGGCTTCGCCAAAAAGTTAACAGTTACCTCCAGATGCATCGACGCCGGTTTGGTCATAGACGGCAGTATATGTTATCCTTTCAATGATGGTCTTCAGGCCACTCTGGAGGTTTTACCAGAAGATACTTTATATACGATAACTTTAGATTAAAATATCATTATCATATGATGACTGCATTTCTAGTATTCTATAATATAGTTTAGCAAGATGTATAACTTATGTTTCTTGTGTATTATTTGAGGAAAAACGACGTGTTTTAATATTGTTGTTATAGATGTTTGTATGATTACTATTTTTGTACCAAATATTTTTTAGATTTTAATAAAACCCACCGTTTATACCAAAAATATTGTTTTATTTAATTAAGGAATTAAAAATTATTATCCAGAATTTGTTTAGCCAATTTTTGGAAAAAATCTAATAATCAGCTAAATCAATAAGAATTGAGTTTTATTTATTTATTTATTTATTTTACAAGCCGTCGGTATAATAATATTATAATAAGGCTTAAGTCAATATTTTATAGGTTTAATATAATTAAATTAATTATTAGCTATTTGATTACTTATTTATTATTTAATTTATTTACTATAAACTTATTTATATTTAGTTAATTTTAATTATTTTTAAATATAACTAGTTTGTTTGTTGCAAGTATTTTATATTACTTACTGCAATTTCTGTGCCAAATGATTCAAAATGACTTCAAATGTTGAAATATCGTAAAATTAGCAAATCAAGTTTTTTCGTAAGAACATAAATTTGTGCTATGTGCAGTTAAAAAAAAAATCTGCGTTCTGACTAGCTTTATTCAAAATTTTATTATGCAAGTGTATATAACAATTTTACTAAATTTTAGTAAATTTCATCTAGTTTTTACTTAAATAAATAATAATAATAAATAAATCGAAATGCCCAGAATACAATTCAAAAGTTATTTGAAAAAATGTAAAAAAATGTCCAAAATCGACATACTAATAGAATTCTTTAATCAGCACGCTTCAAATATAATAGAATGTTTAGAATTTAAAGGAGTGCATTTATTTTATTAAATTTAAGTAATTTATTTAAGTGAATTTTATCTAGTATTCACTAATGTAAAATAAATCAGAGAGCCCGGAATAAAATTTAAAAGTTATTTAAAGTAACGTAAAAGAATATCCTAAATCGACACAAATCGAAAAATTGAATAAATA